GATGCCGATGTTGAATTTTGAGTGGTCTGGTCGTCCCCGGGTTCCCGGATGTGGCGGAGGAAGGGGGGCATTGAATTTTTGGCGGTTGAATTTTTTGCCCTTGAATTGTTTGCATTCAGATCTTGAACGCTGAATACATTAACCCTGAAAAACATTCAGATACAGGATTTCAATGCATAAATATTCAGTGCTAGAAATTAAATCACCTTTTTCTTTCAAAATCCGATGACACAGATTTACTTGCATAAAAGAGGCTTGAATTAGTAATACAGTATATCCTGGGGTCGCCAGTACCTTGGGAATTGTATAACCCCTGAAAGAGATGTCGTGGAGAGCGTAGTGAGGGATGCTGAAGGGGACGATGTCCAGAAAGCGCTGCACCTCATGGATAACTGCATCTGTGAAGGGGAGGGACTTCCTGTTCTCCATGCTGGGAACACAGCTTTGTCCAATCACGCCGTCAATCTCCGTCTGCATTTTTTCTAAACGGGACAACAACGAAAAAACATCGTATATGGATTTATAGAGTAAGATGACCGTGTCCTCCATTCGGGGACTTACCCTGTATGTTCGGGTATTTAATCAGGACACTCAGGGCAAATCTAATAGTGGAGCTGGTCGTTTCCGTTCCGGCCAAGAAGAGGTTTAACACTGTGGAGATCAGGTTTTCATAGTGGAACTCAGTCTTGGGATTGTCCTTTTCCTGAGAGAACAAAGGGAACAAAGTGCAGCAGATAAAGAATATACACATTTGTTGGCAGAAAGTTAATTTGGCATTTTCTTTTGCATTTGAATAATTATTCAAATTAATAATTTTATTCATTTATTTATAATTACAAAAAATGATAGTTTTCAAGAAAAATTCATGATTTTTCTTTTTGCGTATCTCAGAGCAAAATAAAATTTTCCACCTGATTGATTCTGATGAGAAAGCAGTCAATAAAGTCCCTCGGGGAGCTGGGGTCCAGTGTCGCTTTGTGCTGATGGATCTTTGTCTCAATGAACTCTCTCAACTTCTCAGCTTTGGCAAAACAAGCGTGCTGGGAGCCGGGCAGATGCCCCATTAGCCAAGGAAAGATGTTGTACAACTGAGGGATGATGATAACATTGTATAGGAGATCATGTAAACCCAAACTTTGTAACGATGAGCTATCAGCCGCTTACCTGACCAACAGGACTGTTCAGGAAATCTAAGACCTCAGATATGGTGTTGAGGAGATGCAGGAACTTCTTGTCCTCGTAACCAAAGCGTTCTCCAAACACCAGGCAGCAGATCACATTGGACACAGTGCGGCTCAGCAAAAACCTGGGGTTGAAGGGCGAGGCTGAGGAGAAGAGTAAAACCTAATTGGACTCATCGATTAAAGGTGAAAATGATGAAATGAAAATGGTGTCAAGATCAGAAAATTCCCTGAAATTATGTTTCCCCTGCCGTGTAGATCTTTTCTTATTTGTTTGTTTTTATTTAGCTCACTTTAGACGCTTTAACATATTAAAATCGGCTCTCAAATCAGCTGTCAAACAAAAGGTTGTCAGTCCCTTTAAATGCAGTTTAAATTCATCAATCAGTTCAGTGGATCACGGTATTCTGTGTTTACAAAAGGCCGTCAGACAGAGATAAGAATTAGAGAGCAGCTCAACATAAACACACCCGACAATACAACAAAGCACTACACACTCTCCTTTCAGTTATCGACCAACTATGTTCCGTTGAAGGCGTTAGATTGATATAGTGTTTTTGTAGTGTATTAGATCTTTTTCGGTTGCTTTTCTTCTACTATCCTTTAACAACACACATCAGAAACCTTCTTGGATTGAAGCTATCATTTAGGACAACTTCATTTAAAGGAAAAATCCCATGCCACCATTTGTTTGGATTGATGGTAAATGTAGTCCATTGAAGTTTGTTGGTCAAGAACAACTGAGTTTGCACCAAGAAAAATGTTGTTTTTCTTTCTGCACCCGATTCCATCATTTGACGTTACTGGAGGCAAAAGAAAGACTACGGTTCATTCTGAGGAACGCATTGAGTACATTTACCAATAAGTGCATCATCCCGTTTCATATCATGCCGGCGTGGAGCGCGTGCTCGCAAAACTACAGCTGCATACGCACCTTTGAATGACTCCATGCGGGCCCTCAGGTGTCTGCTCTCCTCCTGGATCCACACCTCCATCCCCTTGCGTCCCATCCCAAAGTCCCTCAGGGTCGACAGTGAGAAGCGTCGCAGTTGGCGCCAGCGTTCCCCGTTGCTGATCGCCAAACCTGAAAAAAACAAAGGATGTGTGCCTCTTGCCGACCGGCTGGAATTCAAAGACATGCGTTCACGGAAACCATGGAAGTGGCGTCCGATTTCCGCTGAACTCACCGTAGCCCTTGGTAACCTTCATCAGAAAGGGCAGTGGCCCTCTGCCTGTGAAGTCGTCTCCCTGGTCCACCAGAGCCTCCTTCACCGCATCATATCCCACCAGGAAAACCACCCGCTGCCAGCCCAGGTGGACGGTCATCACAGGCCCGTGGGTTTCACTGAACTACGAGAAGACTGGATTTTTAGGGTTGTAACACTCTAATTCCCTTTCTTTTTTTTTCCGTAAAAAAAATCAATGAGCAATCAAAGCTAAAATACAACATGAGTGACCAAGCTAAAGACATGTTCTTACACAACGTTAAATCGTTGTACTTTTTGCTAAACTAATTACTTACCTTGAGAATGCTTTTAAAAGGGGCATTTTTGTCCAGTTGCGGCAGGTTTCCTATCAGAGGGAGTGCGAAGGGTCCTGGGGGCAACAGATACTTGCGTCTGTTTTTGACCCCAAACAACCACAGCAGAGCTAAGATTAGCCCCGCCAGGAAAACTGTTGCAGAAAAGTCCATGACGCTCTTCTTGCTGGGTCTTCTCGACTCGACTCTGCTGGTCGGCAGATCCCTCTTATATTCCCTCAAATGCTTGTTTTGAACAGGGACATTCCAGTGGTGCTGCACTGGGACAGAGGTGAGTCACATGACTAGAGTGCACCTTCACCTGCTTTTTTATTGGCTAGAAGCCAGAGGGGAGCAGACAAACATCTGACTTGAATTATACCACAATCATTTCCCTCCTCTTTCGTCCACAGAATTGGTGTTGAAGGGATTGACCTGAATGAATACAAGTACAATACTAGTTTCAGAAAACCCAGAACTTTGGGGTATACTCGTTGTTCTTTGTTTTTAAAATGAGAAGGGCCAACAAGAGGTCAGCAGTTGCAGCTGGATTAACATGCTTTTGACTGAATTTATTTAATTTATTGCATACCTGAAATAAAATGAAATGAATGAAAATCAAGCCGGTGTCCATGTTGCCAAACAACTACACAACACATACAGCTGTTAAACACACCTACAAACAAAGTGCCGTGGTTGCATTACTCATCAATGAGACAGCGTTGTGCTTTTTTAAGCCAATCAACTGATGAATTGATTATAATTGAGATTTACCATTCACACTGCACTCAAATCATCAAAGTAATCTCACTGTGCGCCGCATCTCAGTAAGTCAAGTGATTGGAGCTCTAGCGTGTTTACCGGTTATGTAACATACTCTCAAGCGTGCATCGGAAGGAGACCAGAATTTATGTATGCTATCGCCAAATAAACATGCAGAGCGGTCCAGCAAAGCTTTTACACTCTTTCGATTGAAAGCCCATTGCTTTATGTTTGTGGTCGATATTTAGATTCACATGTTGTTTCACTGTTATTTTCTCTCGGCATTAGTCGTGCGTGTGTCTAACTTGTGAGGCCGCAGCTTTTCTCTGCAAAGGCTTTGCCTTGTTCCTGTTTGAACGTGTTGAGTTTGATTGGATTTTGTCATTTCCCATCACATCTGTGAGAAATGCGAGTGGATTTACAATGACATCAGAAAACACCTTTGAATGTAGCTATGTATTTAATCTTCTCCCAGATCCTCTCTTCCATCCCGTTGCGTCCATCCCATAATCCTTCAGTGTTTGCAAAACCTGACTGTGGACTGCACAAAGACATTTCTGTTATATTATATGAACTTTACAATGGAAAACTGACTGTTCTCTGTGTGAGAAAACGTTGTGTCCTTTCTCTGGTGTGTACACATCTGGCACTGGTTCCCTCCACAAAATGCCAAATTTGCATTATTGCAACAAATAAACTGTTGCAAACAGACGTTCATGATACCTGCTTGTTTTTTTCAGCAAATGCATCATCAGAAGTAAATTGCTAACATGATGCTATAAATGAACAACAGCACAGTCCCATTAGTATCTAGTAGGCTTAAGACCAACTAGCTTTCTAGTGATGATATTCTGGAGTCTCATTGCGACACTTGTTAACGACCACAGCTCCAAAATCCAACAGGTGCACAACTGATTCCTCCTTTTCCAGGTTTGGGGATTTATTCCTGCAATGTCCTTCTAATTGATATCTGTGACTTTGTATATGAACAGCATTTTTATATATATTTGACCAGAGGTTGGTATGGATTTAATTGAACTGGACCGAGATCCAAAGCCTTAAACCAATGCGATTCGTTAATAGCGGGTCATGGCAGTGAGACTCTAACCAACAGATTCCCTAAGCGAGAGGACGTCTAGTTCAATGTGGAATGAGCCCTGGTTTTCTTCCAGAAATGCCCTGGGATTCATCCATTGGCATTCTTTTTGGCATTACGTATCATACTTTTATCTAACTTATTTATTTCAACAAGATCATTTTAATAAACAAACTCCAACTTCATGATTTTTTAGGTGTAAATGCAATCAGCGGTCAAAATGTTAGGCTACAAAGGAACTGCAGCACAGTCGCACAAATTCAGGCCACCGCCATTGAGTTATAGTTGTGCTAGTGTTGTGGTGAAGTCTCATTGACACGCTTGTTGGCCTCTTTTAAGACACATAAAGACTGTAAATTTATGGTTAAGTGCCCAAATGCCGACTTATTTCTATCTTTGGGACTGGGTTTGGCTAATTATGTGGATTGAGAAAAAACAAGAATATAAGAAAAATTTCAGATTCAAACAAGATTTGAACTCATTTTAAGGCTTCAAAGGCGCAACAACCACGCCATTGAATCTTAATCTGAGCATTAGTTTGCAGGTTTTCAACATAATTGCCATGTGACTAAATTTACAAACCCACAAAACTTGCTCCTTTCAGAGGCGGGGCAGGCAGAGAATGCTGTTTGGCCCTTTTGGCTGCCATGCAAAAAGTTGAGCAACAGGGATTGCATAATAGGCATCATGTGACAAAGAGTGATGTATGTCTAAAAGCACCAAAAGAATAAATTCTAAGAAGAAATATTCATGAAGGAGGTGACGTATCTCCTTGTATCTGACTGAAGAAGACAGCTCAAAGTCATTGCCCCATCTTTCATTCAGTGGTTTGTCAGCAGAATATCAGCACATGTCGCCCATTCCGGTGTAAAAAGCTGAGTGCACTCACAAGACACACACACACACACACACACACACACACACACACACACACATACAGAATCCACATCCAGCAGAACCAGAGATGTAAAAAAAAAAATCTTCATATTAGCACATTTGGCCACTCAGACTCGGCATCTACCTCTGTATGTCTGCACTGCTCCACCGAGCCGGCAAGCAAACAGCAGATGGAAGTAGAGGGAAAAAAGCAGAGTCATTGTGACAGCGTTTATTGCTCACTTTTGGAACACATTTCATGTTATATGCAGATGCTGGGTAGTGGGGGTAATTGCTAAAAGTCAAGTGAAAGTAAATGAAAAGGAAAGAATGATGAGACGAGAATATTCACAGAGGTCAAGTAAAAAAAATAAACACAGCGGTGAGAGACAATGAGTGGAGAAACACAGCTGTCCAATAGACTGAAATATCCTCAATAACATCTGCTGGGCTCTCTGGAATCCTTGCTCTGCTCCCTCCGTCAACCTCGAGCCGTCCTCTGGCGTGGAAAGACTGATACAACACGGACAGTGTTCAAGAGTCAAGGTCACGAATGATTTACCTGAGGAGAATGGGCATAACGCCTGGAAGGATATCTTCATTAATTAACAAATCCGGCGCGTCGATAACAAAATTGATGCCCTTGTATTATAAAAACGAAAAGATGAGAAGAAAGGGGTCTCTCTCTCTACCTCTCTTTAGTAAAAACTAAAAAGCAAATCCTCCACAGTCGAAAGCATCAAAGTCGGAGTCGCCCTCGAAGTCGAAGCTGTTGAAGTTGGGGGAGTCGACGTCCTGGCTGCAGGCGCTGAAGGAGCCCCCCGCGGGCAGCTCGGAGAAGCCCCCCACGCCATGGCCGATGTCCGGCGCCCTGCTGGCCAGCGGGGAGGACGGGGAGGAGTTGAGGTAGCCCAGAGCGGAGGAGGCCGCTGCCCCTCCCATCAGCAGGCACACCGCCCTCACCGCCCGGGCGTCGCTGCTGTTGCCGTGACGAAGGCAGTCGGACACGCGGTGAGGAGGGGCCCCGGAGACACTGCGCAGGGGCCGCCGGGGTCCTCCTGCTGTGGAAGGCAATTGAAACATTATGCACATTATATAATTGACTGGATTTGTTCTGTTCTGTTCTGTTCAACCATTTGCTAAATACACTTTTATGTCTGTCTTTTTGCCATGAACATGTCATGAAATTGCAATTTATTTTTCATTTACAGGAGGACCTGATGGCAGACCTTGGCTTTGGCCTCCGTCTCGGAAGGAGCCTCCTCGCTCTGTGACTCGAGACGAAGGAGGGGGGGTGCCCTCGCCGACCCTGGGTGACCCGGGGTCTTTGCTGCTGGGGGGGTCGGGCAGCGGGTCCCTGTCGGTGATGCAGGGGGTGATGCTGCACTGCCTCTGCAGGGTGAAGGGTGACATGACACCCTAGAGAACAGATATCATTAGAAACGTATGTAGAAATACACTAAATGAGCGGTGGGGTGGGACAAAGAAGGGGCCGAATGAGGCGAGAGCAGACTCACCTCTCTCACTTTCCTTATCATGTTCAGCCAAAGACTGTGAAAACAAAAGAGGGAATCATTATATTTGACCCATAATCAGACCTGCACTCTTTATGGGGACACAAGAGAATGTGAGATATTCTTATAAATCTGACATGGTTACTGCCTCTGCAGTGAACATGTCCAATAGTGAGTGGGACAAAGGAGATAACATCTGATTAGGAACAGGGTGAGGGACGTGAATCCTTTGATGTTTGTGTGTGTGTGTGTGTGTGTGTGTGTGTGTGTGTGTGTATGTGTGTGTTTGCATGAGAAGAAGAGACACTAACTTGCAGTCATCTGGGTTCTCAGTGAGAAGCAGCAGGAACTTGTTCTGCGGCAGGATGAGGGCGAAGCAGCAGTCCCTGCGGCCCCCCGGAGGCAACCTGGGCAGGTCGAGGATTTCCCGACCCTCTGCGATGGACTCGCAGAGGGTCTGCAGGGCGACCACCTGGTCCGGGGGGGACTCTGCGTCGCGGCACACAAGCAGGCTTCCCTCCATGGTCAGCACGAGGTACTTCTCCTTCCACTGCTTAAACACAAAGCCCCCTGCAGACACACGAGAGGAACAGAGGAGGTTTCGTTGTTGTTGTTGTTTTGTTGCTTCTGTTATCTTGTGTGTGATGTGGTACGAGCAACAAAAGATCAGGAACTTTGTAACTACTGACAGTTTTATAGGTGCAGGTACTGCAGGTGATCGTTTACTCCCTCTGATTGTAATATTTTTGGGGATTAGCTTTTGGTCAGCTTAGAAAACTCCTGGAATGGTTCCCTTCATGCCGAGGAAGCCTTTTTTGTGTGCTGATAACATTTCTGGAGGCTGTGGTTTGGACTGCATTTTTTTTCAAAAGGTGAATCAAATCCAAATCTCTGGATAATTAGGCCTACTGTAATAAAACACAGTA